TGGGTCAAATGGCCAAATTCCCCATGAATTAAAAGGCAATAGAGAAATTCAAGATTCCAATACAAACTTTCATATATTAGATAAATATTTTATTTCTTTTCTTAGTTTAGGATTGGTATAGAAAATATACAAACCATCTTTTTTTATGTTGCATGACTTCAAATTTGATAAAAGTTATTGAACTAAATATTAGACATTATTCCTCGTGGGAACGATGAACTCGAAACTCACTGATTTTTATTACTTGAAAATGATTCCATACGCTTGCGGGTTTCAATCGAACACTATCCATATAACTCGTCATCACATATCTCAAAATTTCAATCTAACATTTTTATCAAATTAGCCCATGACACAACTTGAGTATGGATATTGAAGTAAAACTTGTGAGGTAGAAAACCTTTTATCTAGGCCCCCCTTGCCTACTAACTCCTCGAAATAAATCATTGGTCCAAAAATAGAATGGAATTGTCTAGAAATAAAATTAAGAGGAAAATAAAAGCTTCTCAACAACACTATTGTGGGTTCTGACGATCAATTTAGTATAATATTAGTTCGTGTCTTGTTGAGGTAAATTTGTTAATTTCTCGTAACTCTTTTGCGTTCATTAATGAAATGAATTTTTTTTTTTTTAATTAAGATCTAAATATATCATTTTCCAAGTCCATTATTTTATAACAGAGAAAAACTATAAATATACTGCGGATCGTCCAACTGTGGGCTGATGTTCAACTGGGTCGATCATCTTATATTTGGTCCATTGGATCACCGGACTTGTATTTGCTTATAAACTTGGCTAATAGTTTTCAATTTGGCATAATTAGGTCACGCAACTTAAACTTGCACTACAAAAAAACATGGTTTTAGGCACAGAATATCCGTGCCTAAAGCCACGATATCCTTTGCTAATAATCTTTACCAATGGAAAAAGACCAACGGAAAATCCGTTGGTGAATTTGAATTTATTATTTTGTACTAAAAATCAATACAACCCCCTAATTAATAATCATTAATTTCAAAATGCACTAAATAATCAAAATCGTCAAAACACATTAAATCTTTAATAAATTATAAATTATTACACCAAAATTCCAAATTCCAAATATCTTGTCTTCCACATCATCATTTCGTGATCCTGAGCTAGAAGGAAATTGAAAATTAGG